TTGCATTTTAAATGGAAAGAGCACTTTCTCTGTGATATACTAAGTAAACCCAAGTTAATTAGTGTAATGACGAAGAATCAAGCGGTCACAATAGAAATTTAAATTTCACAGATTGCAATAAGCCGCTTATACAATGATTAAGAACTTTGGAATTGAATGGCACGTTCCACTTTTTGCTAAAGAGTGCAGATTTGTAGCCCTGGAATAGTGTCTGAACAAAGTAGTTCGATAATGGATGAGGCATAATAGAGTCGAGATGACAGAAGTTTCCAATTATACCATTTTTATTATTTTAAGCACAAAAATGTCCTTTTAAAAGAAAGCTAAGTCATATTCATCTTAGTACATTGGCATTAAATCTTGATAAGGTCACTTTATTATTTGTACTTGGTTTTCTTAGGAGTTACTTTATTTTAAATTCACCGTTCGCTTTGCAAACTTTTAAGTCATTCAAATGGCTTTTTCATTGGTAGTGGAAGAGAATTTTAGATTATGGGATGTGGTTTGAAATATGAACTTGGTGTTATTTAAAGGAAGACGAATTGACTCCTGTTGGCAAAGTTGCCCGACTTCTAGGCTCTTTATTTATAAAGCAAAAGTACTTATTTATGCGCAATTATATGTGAAGGGGATAAATGTCCCTGAAAAGTCAATCACCAGTGCGGTTCTGACACTGCAATGCGCTGGATCTTAAACAGTAGATGAACTTGTTGACATTTGATCAATTTCTATAAGTCAGGTGCAAGTTTATTTATATCAAATGGCAGGCGTCTTGATGGTTATCATTAGCCCTTTAGTTGACTTCAGGCTTCACAGAGGGGAGGAGGAACATTAAAGTCACAAAACAGGGGGGGGGGGCAGAAGAGTGTTTCAAAGATGTAAAAGAGACAGACAGTCAGACACAAAAGCAGAGAAATGGTTAGATGAGTACTGTTGAAGGAATAATCGAATATGATACAGTGAGGTGATGGTAGTTTGAAGTCAGAAGTCAACTGCCGATCAATAGACTTTTTGCAAGTCAGAAGTCAACTGCCGATCAATAGACTTTTTTGTCTTTGAAGCTCGAATATGGCATAGAGTGGGATGATGGTAGTTTGAAGTCAAGTAGTCGAATTTGACATACAGTGGGGTGATTGTAGTTTGAAGTCATGTCAAATGCCGGTTAATAGACTTTTTTGCCGTATGAGAATGTAGGACATATAGGGGGGTCATGGTAGTTTGAAGTGAGAAGAAAACTGCCGGTTAATAGACTTTTTTGCCGTATGCGGAGAAGTCAACTACCAGTTAATAGACTTTGCCGTATGAATATACGTTGCCCAGGGTGCACCACGTGGAGGTAAGTCTATTGAAAAACGAATGCCGAGTGATAGAATTTTTGCCGTAAGAAAGTACGTTGCCCAGGGTGCACCACGTGGAGGTAAGTCTATCGTAGTTAACTGCCAGTTAATAGACTTTTTGCCGTATGAATATAACGAAAGCCGAGTGATAGACTTTTTTGCCGTAAGAAAATACGCTGCCCAGGGTGCACCACGTGGAGGTAAGTCTATCGCACACAAACTTCCGGTTAATAGACTTTTTACCGTATGAGTATACGTTTCCCAGGGTGCACCACGTGGAGGTAAGTCTATCGCACACCCACCAGGGTGCACCACGTGGAGGTAAGTCTATCGCACACCCCTTGTAGGGTGCACCACATGGAGGTAAGTCTATCGCACACCCCATAATTATATAATACAGCATTAGAGGATCTTTTGAAAAATCAACAGCACACATTTTACGAAGTTTATAATGTTGAAAATAAATATTCCGAATTCCAGTGGTTAAATCTCCCTTACAAATCCCCAGAGATTCTATTTTTAATAGGTTACAAACTTGTATCAATGAGCATGCGAACAGGTAATTAGAAATAGTCAAATATTCATCGGTACTAACATTAGAACTATTTCCAGTTTCCATAGTATTAATAACATAAATACCGCTATTTGCAAAGCCACCCATATTTAACCCACCTGCCAACTTAATATCACACATTTAAACAATTTTATTGGGTATACAGCGTGGCCACGATAGGAGGTACGCGTTGAGACCTGCAAGGTTGTATATTAAAGTACACGATGAAGGCTTTCAACACTTTGCTGTGGACTATTGACTGCTTAGTGTGTTGTTATTCATAATATTCTGCATTTACTACTTTTAAATAGAAAACATGGCACAAATTTTACTCCATTTTCTTACATGGGACTCCTTCGCCCCTTGGCCAACCGGTCCAATGACATGCTTCAATATATTAGGTTTTATTTTAATAATCACCCCAATATCATGTTTACCATTTTATTTTCAAAAATGTAGACAATGAAGAACTAGACGACTGACAATTTATTTCAAAAAATAAATACGCGCATGATTTAAGTCAAAAAAAGATTGGCGAGAATAGTAAGTAGTTTACTGCCTGCACTGAAGGTATGATGAAGCTAACAGAATGTCATTTCACTGGACCCTAATTAAAGTCCTCCTATTACAATGCTACTTATACAAGAGAGTAGAAAGGTGTGAATTAAAATAAGGTGAATATGCTGTAAGCTCGTAGACGACACTGATAAATAGGGTCTAAATCCTCTCTTGTATCAACTTGCCAGCATAGGAGGTAAGTAGTCAAATCCTTCCACATCAATTCTATTTTCACATCAAGTGCTCAGAAGCAGGTAAATCCAGAATAGAAACGAAGCAGGATTGTTTTGATAAGGTTTATTAGTAAGAATACTTCTACCAAATACCACTTCCCCAATATTATAATTATTATTACAAATGGCAGGTTTTATGATATTTATATAACATATATAGCAGTTAATTGATTGCAGTTCATTAGCTGTCTTCTTGCTTCCCAGTATCTCTGGGTTTTAACTTCCCCCATATTTATTTATTCCCCTCTGTGAAGCCTGAAGTCAACTAAAGGGCTA